TATACAGATTCAGATAAAGGAGCTCCTGAAATCAGAATCAACCTGTGATTAGCTTCTCAGATACAAACCTAAGTAAAAATTTCAGGTCCAGATGCAGAAAGACAAGCATCACATGTTTTCCATAATATGAAGTAACTTAAAAAAAGAAAAAGATCATCTAACAGTAGAAACATGACTATCAGAAGGGGACTGGTGGAAGGGGTCATGGTACAGGGTAATGGAGAGTTAAACAATGGAGAAGGGAACAGGATCAAAGCATTAATGTATGGAAGTGTTACAGTGAAACTCCTTGAATTTTATACAATTAATAAGTGTTAATAATTATAATTTTTAAAAGAAAAAAATGATATCCAGGCCCAAATAKTATTGAGTTCACACACCCCTTCCTCTCCATCAGTTTCCATCAGCCTTCTCTCTCCAACTAACAGAAACTGACACAGAAACAGAGCTATTCTAGAAAGTCTGGAAAACTGGTTACAAATTCTATTCTGATATATGACAAGAATGCAGAATAGGATAGGATGATGCTGTGTTCAAACAGAACAGTATAGCATAGAGTTTCAGTTTTTCAAAGTAAAAAGCTTTGCACAGATGGGTAGTTGCACAGCAATGTGACTGTACTTAATACCACTGGATTGTGCACATGCAAATGGTGGAATGATAAACCTTATGTATTTTTGCCAAAATTTAAAATACTTTTTTAAAAAGTTGAAAAGTTTTTTTTTTTTTTTCGTAAAGACTTCCACGTACATTCCTGCTTCCCAAATGAAAATATAGGAAAGTTACAATACAGAATTGCTCAGCAACTAATCATCAATCACCAATCCAATTTTAGGGCATGAGAAAGTGGGGAAGGAGTAAATCAGAGAGAAGGAAGATTTGCTATTGTGGGATATTGATGGAGCACAGAAGGCCTGGGGTGTGCTAAATGAACCGTATGATGGCATCAAATGCTTTTGTAGGAGAGGTAAAGAGAAGGACAAGAGCAGAAAAAAGAGAGATTTCACACTCTGCCTTTCACAATACCCCTCTAGGAACCAGTAATTATTGATCTTTTTAGGGATAAAATTGGTATCAGGCAGGTAGACTTAGCATATGGAAACTGGGTTCCTTTGTGCTAAAAGCTGTTAAAAGGTCATTAAAAGGAACAAGTTCTCAGGTCAAACTTTGTCACACAGAAGGTACTCATTGGCCATTTTGAATAAATAAATTTATTTAAAATTATTTAAATAAATTTATTTAAGTAAATGCAGTTTTAAAAATCAAACAGCATTATTCTGTTAATCAACCACCTTTTGTTTTTTAAGTTCTTAATTTAAATATTTGAATTTCTCTTCAAGAATTAGCACTTTTTATTATGCTGTCTGTCATTTTTCTTGTTGAATTAAGACTTGGCTAACTCCGTAAAATAAAATCTAATTGTCTAGGTGGTTTATATACACTGAAAATTAACCACACCCTGAGAGGGAGAAAATCTTAGCTATATAATCAATGATTTCTTTGTTTAGAATAATAGTAAAAATAAACATATAAAAGAAAAATTTGTTAAAAATCTACACCCACAGATGAATATGTAACAACAAAGAGAGATTCAATTGAAGATAAATATAAGAAACTTCAAGATATAATTGAAGAACATAAAAGACCTTTTATAAATTGATAAAATTAGAAAAGAAGGTGGCAGATTAGAGAAGGATGTGCCTGATAGCAATTCCTCAGCACCAGGCTTACAATGTGGGAAGACTGCTCCCCAGTGAGGTGGGTAACAATGGGAATTCACTGAAACTCAGTACTGCATTGTAAAAGATATTATAGAGACACAGAATGTCAGAAACTTTAAAGAGAATGTAAAAAAATATGCATTAGAAATGCACCAGCTTGGCTGAGGGTGGCCACAGAGAGGAGGGGTAACCAGTGGCATTGAGAAGATGGTGTGGCAAATAACAACAAAAATAAATAAACTAAATCTTTGAAAAAATGTTGTTTGTCTTGGGGGAATCTGTGTGTTAGAACAGGAGGCTAAATTTAATGAACAAATTGTCTGTGGGAAAGTGGTTCAGGACCCCAGAGGAGATAGTTCAGTAGGATCTGAGATTGCTGGCCCAGAAATGACTATAGGACCAGCCTGGGAACTGTCTATAAATGCTGCACAGCAGTGAGCAGAGACAAAGCAGGAATGAATAAAAGAAGTAGCCAGCAGTTGCATATTCTGACCTTCAGTGTATGCCTGCACCAGAGGGATTAAAACAGGCACAATGAAAACCTTTCTTGTTGGTGTCCCATAGGAGTTGTTAGGAAGACACCTATAATGCCAACACAGGAGTGTCTACACTCCAGAGTTGCTACCTGTGGTAAATATTTATGTCTGGTAAATTCACATTTCATAGCACTGAAGGTGAAACCTGTGGAGGATTAGTTTGTATGCCTTAAAAGTGGATTTTACTGAAGGCCCCAAACATCCAGATGTAGAGCAGAGATTGGCAGCTTCCCAGCAATAAGAAGTGTGGATAAATACCCACCAACAGAGTTCCAAAATTCACTCAAGACTAAACCCCAACCAGTGAACTTCCAATTTAGAACTCTGCATCACCCCCACTACAGCATTCATTATACAATTCAGGAGCACTCCCCACTCTACCCAACCTCTACTGGGAGACCAGAAGCTAACACCTACTACACCTCGCTGGCAGCTAGGTAATGAACACACAGACATTGAACTTTATAACCCCAGTTCTTGATCCAAGGGCTATAGAGTCTAAATAAATATGAAGAATGAAAAAAGACTCCCAAAGTGCAAGAAATAAAATCAAGAATCAATAAATGAGGGCTGAGATTGTGGCTCCATCGTAGAGCACTTGCCTAGCATGCATGAGGCACTGGGTTCAATTCTCAGCAGTATATACAAATAAATAAAATAAAAGTCCATCAACAATTAAAAACATATATTGAAAAAAATCAATAAATGGGGTGGATTCAAATTAAAAAGTTTCTTCTCAACAAAGAAAAAAATAAATAATGCAAGGAGACAGCCTACAGATTGGAAGAAAATCTTTACCACATGTACCTCCAATAAACATTAATATCTAAGATATATAAAGAACTCAAAAAACTTCACACACACACACACACACACACACACACACACACACACAATAACCCAATCCCAAGAATGGGCTAAGAAACTGAACAGACTTCACAGAAGAAGAAATATAATGGATCAAGAAATATATGAAAAAGTGTTCATCATCTCTAGCAATAGAGAAACACAAATCAAAACTAGACTAAAATTTTATCTCACTTTTGTCAGAATGGCAACCATCATACAGGTATGAAGATGTGAATTTGGTGTCAACATACTAAATGTGGTATATATACAACCAGAGATATGATAAGTTGTGGAATAAAGGTGTATTAAGAATTGTAATGCAAAAAAATCAATAAGAGAGCTCATGTATAATGGCATAATTTGGCGTGAACATACTTTATATATACAGAATTACAAAAAATTGTGCTGTGAATGGATAATTATGAATGTAATGCATTCCACTATTGTCATGTATGTAAGAAATAAAAAATAAATAAATATAAAAAAGAATACAAGCAACAATGAGTGTTGGTGAGGATGTGAGGGAAAAAGGTACATTCATACATTGCTGGTGGAGCTACAAATTGGTACAACCACTATGGAAAGCAGTATGAAGATTCCTCAGAAAACTTAGGAAGAAACCACCATTTGACCCAGCTACGCCTCTCCTTGGTTTATACATGAAGGACTTTAAATCAGCATACTACAAATGCAGCCACATCAATGTTTATAGCAGCTCAATTCACAATAGCTAAACTGTGGAAAACCTATATGTACTTCAATAGATGAATGGATAAAGAAAATGTGGTACATATACACAATGGAATATTACTCAGAAATTATGGATTTTCCAGTAAATAGACGGAGTCAGAGAATATCATGCTAAATGAAATAAGCCAATCCTAAAAAACCAAAGA